ACCAAAGTACGAGTCCACCAAGGACATCCACCGCCGGACGATGCTGAAGAAGAAGCGCGTGGCCGCGAGTGAGATCTACTCACAGGACCGCGTAGGGGCATATTGATCCCGCGATTCTCAAGTTAGCAGTTGCAGAGAGAGAGAGGGGAGGGACAAGCTTGAGAGTTGAGAGACAGCGGCTGAAGCTTGCGAATGGCGAACCCGGACTGGAACAGCGGGCGATGGAAACTGAAAGATATGGGTTTTGATTTTTTGAACAATCTGAAATAATATGCCGATATGGGTTTTGAACTTCTGATTCTTGCAGACAGATAGATAAACTGAAATATATGGGTTTTGAACTTCTGATTCTTGTAGTGTTTGTAGAGAGATGTTGCAAAGCTGATATGGCAAATTGAATATAAAAATAATTTTTTATTACATGTAATTGGTGTAGTCCACCAACTCATCAAGTGAGGTGTATGGACTTGGTCCATACAATAATTTCTCCTTTGTGCCACTAGTACTATCCATTCCCTAGCCTTATCCAACCTGTTACAATTGATAAACTTGAATTTCTCATTCAATTGGTACATTTCTTTTTCTTTTTTTCCAAAATGTCATTCAATTGATAACATTTTATTCATGTTAGTTTCTACTTATCAAATTTCTAGTGAAATATTCACGTACTTGAAAATATAAAGAGTAACGCGTATATAACAACGAAGACACCAATTCCATCATCTTCTATTTCATAATTGTGCCTTCACATTATAGCTTCTTTTAAAAAGAGAGAAGGCATTTTCATCTAAAAATCATAGTTCATACCTTCTTTTATGATATCGAAACCTTGAACATAGGTTATGTTTTTATTTTTATTTTATTATCCTCCTTTTCAGTCCCATGAAATGGCCATAAGTTGTCACATGATAATCACATTTTTGCAGGTAATGTGAGTATAGTTAGAGATTAAATAAAAAAGATGTTTCTACTAGCTCATTGCTTGCGCAATATGCACCCTCCAATTATGTGATACATTATATATTAGTATGTGTATAATGTACATGTAATTATGTATATAGTACTCAACAAATAGTATAGATATGATTGTTTCTACAGGTTGAGCTTTTGTTTTTATTTTTTTCTTCTTTTCTTTATTTATTTTCGGTTTGGAAAGAAAGAACAGAGGCCAAACAGGAAGAGTATTATTTGCAAACAAATTAATCAAAACACGATAAATTATTACAAGGTTCCAGTCAAGATAAATTTTAAATAAAATTCACACATTTATTTACGTGCAGAGTTTAACTAAACTTTTATCATTGCACCAAAATTCAAATGGTGCAAAATTTTTCCTTTAATCAAATATTGGATTTAGGAAAGAGCACAACATTTTGAGTCCAAGGTCATAAATGTAAATTCATGTTAGAACAGACAGTTCCCTTTTATATATTAAACACCTGCTTCCCTGTACTAGAAGTCATATGCAACCGAGTGTGACCAAGTCTTATTTACTGATTTGACAATGCCGCCAAGAGTAGGAACCTCTATGATTTCAATTCTCCCTGAATTCACCAACTAAGATTATGACTTATGAGGGGGAAAAAAAGTTCTTTGGAGAGTGTATTGAATTTTCCATTTATGCTAAAAAGCAACTATTTAATGTTAAATAATTGAAATCACAATTTAAGAATTAAGAGGTCAAACCCTACTTTTTAGCATTAAAAAATTTGAGAATACTTTGGTCTAGAATTTTAACCAAAATTTTTAACCGAGCATGATTTATTGATGTGATATAAGAAAATATGAGTCTCACCTCCTTATGTTTCACGTATTCACCGAATTAACAATTTTAGGCCAAGCATTTTTCAAAAAAAATTTGGAGCCAATGGTATATCTGTAATTAGGTGGAACATTTATATCACACAAATTGTGGATATTCTCCCAAGGGTATTCGTTGAGAGCTGCAACTGTGTTCTTTTTTATCATCTAATTAACAGTCAGTTGTGGGTCCCACTAGTCAGTAACATTCTCCATGCAAACCGCCCGCCCAAACTAACTTAAACAACCGCTCAACCTTCAATTAGGAGATGCATTTGTTTTTTAAAATGAAAGAGAGAGAGAGAGATAAAAAAATAAATAAATAAATTTACTAGGGATAAAAATTAAAAATAAAAGTAACACAAGCGAGTTAGTTGGGGTTTAGATAGAAAATAAGGTCATGGAAAGTTTGTGTTACGGATTTTTAATGTTCTAAAACAGAGAAACATGGAAACAATACTGTTGCACTAATAGACTCTGATTCAAAATTCTGAAATAAAAGTCTAAAACCCATGTTGCATGTCCTAATTTGATATATATATATATATATATATATATATATATATATATGAAAATATGATCAATTCGCGCGCATTTGGATGATTCAAAATTGCTAAATGTGAAACTTTCTTTTGTACGAGTACTTTGTGTCATTGCTTGTATTTTGTCTTGAAAAGAAAATTATTAAGCATTAAGAAGAAGAACCACATACAGTCACTAAAACGGGAAATAAAATGGCTACAAAAAAAAGGTGATAAAACTTGCTGAATGATTTCATTTTTTCGTGGGTATGTGTTTTTATTATATATGCACGTGGTTATATATGATTTAATTAATCAAAAGTGTGAAAATCAATATATAATAGATGCATAATATGACAGCCAAAGGATCGACTAAGCATTTTAAACACCAGCGATACCTTCTAACCTTCTGTTATCTCATAAATATATAAATGTTAATGAACCACATGCATTTAGCCAAAGTGCCAGGAATTTCACATGGGCTTTTGTTGTTTATGTTGCTTCCCAACCATTCCCAAATTAATTCCACTTCGAAATATTTAAATATTAAAATTACATCTTCTTTAACATTTTAATATCTTAGAGTGGTTAGTTTTTAACATGGCCGGTATCAGAAACGACGACTTACATTCTAGGATTTTAAATTATAAAGTACCTCTGATTAAGTTGAAGTTAATTTGATGTACATTGATAAGTATTAGAGGTTGTAGAGACTATTTCACTTAGAAGGATTATAAGTCGCGTGAAGATTTTGGCTATTGACCATATTGAACCGGCTAGTTCAAATTTTTTTTTTCTTGAACTAGTTGGACGTGATTGTAATCCTAATTGAACCAATTGGAAGTGATTATAACTCTAATTGAACTGTTTTTAAGTTTTTTTTGAACCAGTTTATCTATGCTGGAAATTTGAGAAAATAAGTTTCAACTTGGCTTTCGACTTTTCGAAAGGCTAGAATAGTGGGGCAAGTTGTGTTCCTTTGTATGAGACTATTTATACCAACCTTAATCAGACATTAGGTGGGTTGAAAACACTGTATGATGTGAGACACAAGGTGATTTGTGAGCAAATGTGAGTGAAGAGAGACAATTGAAGGATAATTGTATGAGAATTGCGGGTGCATTTATTGTTAAGTAATTTTGCATGTGCCTACACGAGAGAGAGAGAGAGAGAGTTGAGAGTTTGAGAGTGGGAATTTTTCATTATAATCATTCATACCTCTATAAAAGAACTTATTCGGTACGCTTCTTGGACATAATCTTAAGTTTTGGGTGAATCACGTATATTCTGTTTCCTTGAAATTGTTTTCTTTTTAATTGCTTCCTCAAACATTGTTATTTTAGAGTTTTCACCACAACTGATATCAGAACATCCGGCAATTTATTTTTTCCGATAACACTAAGTTCATTCTCTAACTGCATTTGTGCCGATTGATAATCTAAAGTTGTATCAAAGTTTTGGTTATAGAAGGTCTTGAATTAAGTCTACTTTTATGCATTTGACATTTTGACCCCTAAATTGGTGTGGAAACTCATTTTCTTATCTTGATATGTTCTGTTTGTCTCATTACCTTCAAAAAAGCAAAGTTATATATGTGGTACACTTGATACTATATGTTAGGTTCCATCTGATAATCTAACAAACAGATTGAGCACCAACATCCTCTAAGGTAGCAATTCCTCTAAAGGTTGAGTAACTTGACAAGGCAAGAAATGCAAGTGTATGAACAAAATGCTCTTTCCCTCTCTCATTTGGATAAGTATATATGGTTTGCTCAAAACAGATCATTATATTATATTAATTTAGAAATAGTAAGATTACGTGTTAGTTAATCTAATACTAGATGTTTGTTAATCTTGAGTAATATTTTTGTTAATCTCTCTCATGGATATTCTGTTGTTATGCGGTTCTTGAAAATTAATTGTTATAATAATTAGTTTCCAAAGTTCATGGATTGACAGAGAGACACGTTTCTTGAATTGAAAATGAAGTAGTTAAAATATGTCCAACGTTCAGTTTTGCAGGCATCAAACTTGATGGTCTTTAGGAGGCAAGCTAGTTGTGTGCCTCCCTCTTCTTCTACTGTCTTTGTTTAACAAGAAAAGATGAAGTATGCGTCTCTTGCTTCATATTTGCCTTTCCCACTCTTCTCCAACAAACATTCAACTCTCTCTCTCTCTCTCTCTCTGGGAGAGTTTAGAGATCGTTACGTCTTTCGTGCGGCTCAAAACTTCTCTAACAAAAAAGTTATTTAATTGTCTATCCTTGTATTTAAAGTCAAGTCAACATTGTCAACTTTCTTGACTTTCAGGAGGGTATAGTAAAAAGGACAAATCCAATGCACGAGACTCCCATCATCACGGCATCTAGGGAGGGGAGATGCAACTTTACTTTCACGTTGTTTCTAAGGATTAAGCAAGCATCAACTGTGTATCTAAATCTTCTACAACTTGAAATTCTGGACATTGAGAAATATGCAATTAATGTCAACTCTTCCATGAATCCCTGCAAGTTCCAAGCAGTGCTTCCCATACAATGGCACTGGTCTCAACCAACGTACAAAAATGGGACATAATTCAAAATGTGTCGTATACTTCGAACCTCTCATATGCCGGCTTAATTTGCACAATCTGTTCATGCAATGTCTGCAAACTTCACTCAAGCCTTTGAACTCCATGATTGAATCAAAAATAATTCAAGTCTGAGAATTTCGAAAGGGATTATTCATTCAGAGGAGTGCATAAAGTTTCACAAAATATAAACATTCCTTTTTTTTCTTTCTATTTTTTCATCCTACACTTGAATAAACTAAAGGTCGAAGGAACCTTTAACATCATCCAGGTTCTCTCCCATTGATAACCTGCAAAAAGAGTTTAACAGTAAATGGAGTGGGTCTTCAAATATTTCTTCAAAGTTTAGTAGTGACAAACACATAATTGCTACAATTAACAAGTCAAACAGACTAATATCCTCACATACAATCACGAGAGCAAGGCGAAGCTGAAAGGTAAAAGACGAAAAGAAAAAGAAGACAAAGTGACAAGGTTGAAAGACACTGACATGGTTTAGTATGCTCAAGACTGAACTCTATTGGCTTCTTATTCGAGGTTTGCAGTTCACTCTCTGACCAGGGAACCTTACCTTTAAAGATTGAAAATTAAAATCTTATAATCTCTATCGCTAATTTAGAAGATTTCAGGACTAAACACATGCAACATAGTTTATCATTTATAAATATGTTGCCAACTTATGAGCACTAAACAAAATAACACCAGAAAGTCCACGAATGTTTTTTGTCACCACTAAAAAATCAAAAAGATTAGGTCAGTCTCTACTGTTTTGTCTTCACCAGTAGATGAGCTGATTGTATAGGTTTGAGTGATCTGTCTACTTGTGTCAATTTTAACCTCACTGTATGGGCTTATGTATTGAGATGAAAAATAAATACAGAAAGCCCAGGGGCATCCCCAAGTTGGAAGGCAAAAGGACCCGACAACCTAGCAAAATACAATGATCTGTACATCACAGAACAGGGAGAGAATGAACAAAAGTCAGTGAAGCTAATATAAACATGAGCTGTGCAAAGTTCTAATCAGCTGCAATCTTTCTGATAGAACTAATAAGAGCATTAGGAGAGTTGGAGGAGTTTTGAAAACCTCGATTATTCCTCTCTCAGACTCTCTCCACAAGTAATACACAGACCAAGCGAGGAGAAGTTTGTATACAATGGTAAGCATGTCCTTGGCAGATCTGTTCCAATGGGCACAAAAAAATGAGACAACAAAGTTCAAATTTCCAGGATCAAATTGGAAAGGCCAGTCTCTCTAAGAACAAGGTCAACTAAATCAATGAAAGTATCCCCAAGTATTGAACCAGTTAAAAAACTATGCACTAACAAGATTAATTTCCTTGTCGAACAACAAATGCAGAGTAATAGGATTCATGTAGCCGACCCCAAGTAATTAGAGAAAGGCTTGGTGGTTGTTGTTGAACAGCAAATGCTCCCTTGAAGAGGCCTTTACACAGTGTAGGTCCAGCCCATTAGTGACTCTCCGTTGTTAGACATAAATAGACAGATCACTCAGATGCTGAGGAAGATAATAACGTGTAACTACTTCATGATCAGGTTGGCAAATTTTGAAACTTCAAGCACCATTGTGAAGATACTAGTAAAATTTAATCTTTGTTTGGTTTAAGGTAATCTATATAAAAAACCAGCACATTCTTTCAATAATTTGTTCCAAATCCTAAAAAGCGCACAACTTTTTATCCTTTATCAACGCCCTGAAATCTCTCACTCAATCCAACTTCAACTGTAAAAGTTTCTATATGATAAAAATGCAGAACGCCAATCAGAAATCAAACATTCAGGTTTTTAATTCGAACTTGTGAATTGCACTTGAATTTGAAATGTCAACTTTTTTAAAGACGATATCTTATGCAAAAAATCACTAACTAATTCCTGAAAACTTTAGCACAGAACTGAATTATAAGAGGTGACGCAACCACCCAAGAACCAAAATTTCTACAGCTTCAAATTTAAAGCATATGGACTCATGCTTCCAATGTGATAGAATTACAAGCTTGCTTAGATGAAATCCAGTTCTAAAGAAATCGATTCCTTTCGTTCAGTAGCTACAGTTAAAATGCATCAGCAAATTCAAAATTTAAAAACAACCATAAAATGATTTATGGAGGAAAAAATATATACCAAATAAATTGAGAAAAGCCTTGTTATAAACCTTGTATCCAGCAGTCCTTTAGGCTGCATTACCTTGATATAAAGGCTATAAAGCAAGTTGAGGTTAGCCCAAACCTTTCAAGATTGGTTTATCAAAAAGTAGGGGTGTAAATGAACCGAGCTGTTCATGAACAGCTCGGGCTCGTTCGTTAAGCAAACGAGCCGAGCTCGAGCCCAATTTCTAGGCTCATTTAGTAAACAAGCTGAGCCCGAACAACGTTAGGCTCAGCTCGTATGGGCTCGTGAACAAGGCTATAAAGCAAGTTAAGGTTAGCCCAAACCTTTCAAGATTGGTTTATCAAAAAGTAGGGCTGCAAAATGAACCGAGCTCGCTAAGGGCTCGGCTTGGGCTCGTTCGTTAAGCAAACGAGCCAAGCTCGAGCCCAATTTCTAGGCTCGTTTAGTAAACGAGCCGAGCCCGAACAACGTTAGGCTCGGCTCATATGGGCTCGTGAACAAGGCTCGTTTAGGCTCATGAACAAGGCTCGTTTATTAACCATGTATAAGTTCTTGATCCAGCCTATATGTGTGAGTCCATTACAATTATACATGATAAGCCCATTTAAAAACCATTACTACAATCTAAATAACAAAGCCCAAAAAAAAATGGCCCATATTCATTTTAAAGACCCAACCCACTTACGTTAACAAAGAAACCCTATTCTACTTTCATTGACGAAGCAGCGGCAGCCCCTCTCATCTTCTCTATTCTCTTCTTTCCTTCTCTGCAATGATTCTGAAGGTACGTTATGTGCATATATATATATATATAGCTCAACACATTGACCAACAGGCCAGTGGTCTAGCGGTACCAAGCCCCTACTTCTCAAAGAGAGGTCAGGGGTTCGAGCCTCAGTTGAAGCATATGTGTGTGAGTACCAATTAGGAAAAATAAAAATAAAAAAAATAAAAAAAGGAAAAAAGCAAGCTCAACACATTGATATATATGATATATTTGTGTTATATATATACACTAATCTGTTTTATATTATATATACTTGTATATATGTGTGTTATGTATATATAGGTGTTGTGTATCTGTGTGCGCTATATATATATGTGTGTGTGCGCTGTGTATCTAATTCAAGAAGCAAGCAGCAAAGCAGCTAGCTATTCTAAAGGTTGATTTCACTTCAAGGGCTACTTTGATAACTTCCATCTATCTACGCGAATCTGACTACACGAAAACTGCTCTTTTTTAGTGGTTTTTCGTTTATTCTTGTATCCTTTGAGAGCCTCCCCAATATATGCGCAGACGAGCCTGAACCGAGCCAAGCTCGAGCTCGTTGATTTTCTGACGCGCTCAAGCTTGGCTATTCTAGGCTCGCCCGAGCCCGAACACTTCCCTGATTGTGGCGAGCCGAGCCCGAGCATGCCAAGGCTCGGCTCGGCTCGGTTCGGTTCATTTGCAGCCCTCTCAAAAAGGCGAGGTTCATCAACTTGACACATTTGTTACCATGTGTGGGTTACTCAGTTGCTGTGAATGAGCCCCATAACAAGCCGTACTTAAGCTTCTTATGAGCAGGTTGGTTCACGAAGTACTCCTAGTTGGAAATCAACTCGATAAAATCATCTCTTCATTACCAAGGGCAGGCTAGACAAATCTCAGTTTAGTCTACCTGGGTCATATCTCCTGTTAAATAAAACGAAATCAAGCCTTTACTGACAGCCATAATATACACGATTTATCCTTTCCTTTTCCTGATGATGCCTTTATTTCATACCAACATTCAATCACTCCTTCCTTGCACAATCAATGGATATAAAAAGTGACTTCTAGGGAGCATTCTCTGTGAAAAAACAAATAGTGTTTGGGAATACATTATCCAAAACACTTATAAATATTCTCCTCCCACAGATAGATTCATTCCATAAATTTTTACCTCTGCTCACAAACACAATACAAAAAACATCAAATTCGAGCTTCGGCTAAAGGCTCTACCGCAGCAAAACCTCTACCATCAAAAAGTATATTTTGTGTCACCAAATAGAGTAAAAAGTGAATTTTGAACCTAAAACCGCTTCTAGCCAGGGCAAGAAATGGAGTCGATCTGGAGTGAATCCATATAAATCCAAGTTAAAATCAATATTTCAATATTAGGATCCATATCTGATATCCATCCCATATAAAATGAAGTCAATTGGGATTCGGAATTCGGATAAAAGACTCCTATCCCTCCTTATGAATTGTTGATCCAAGATAACGAAACATGGAAATTTAAATCTCTGTCAGCCATCAATCTTCAATGCTCCTCTCTTCCTAATAATCATCCCACTGTATTAACAAGTCTTATTCCTAGTATTCTGTAACAGTTGGTGTAAATTTCATCAAAGAAACAACAAATTCATACCAGAAAAAATAACACTGATTAGAGAAAGCTTCTAGTCAGGATTATGCAAACACTTCCAGTAACTCTACTCATGGTTTCACATTATGTATACATGTGTGTGTATATATATATATATAAAAAGAGAGAGAACATTAGATTATTGAAAATGTGTAACTTACTTGTGCATGCAATATTTATACTCTTGGCTCCTGGTATAATCTTTCTCTCCCTCTTCCAACTGATATGAAAACATGTAGAATCACATACTCAGAACAGAGAGGTAATCAAAAGGCACTGTATTTGTGAAGCTTAAAGGATTGAATATGGTGTCTCTCACCGGATCGCTCTCGTAAACGAGTTCGTAACAAGCCGGAGACAAACATCGCAAAGCGCAATTCTCCTTTGCTATAATCGAAGTTTTGCATTGCAAGCCCCTCAATCCACTTTTAAAGTTAAAAAATTGCAGCAACAAAATAACAATTAGACCAAGAATTATAACAGCCATATGGCCTTAAAATAAATTAATTGAACAAAAAGCAACAAATTTTGATTTTAAATGTTGTTTGGGCAGCGAGAAACAGAGAAGAAAAGAAAAGAACATAAAAATTAGGAAAAAATAAGGTTTTACGATCTTTTGGTTTCCAAATCTTTGTATAACACTCACTGTGTTTCATTGGGTCCCCATATAATAACGAAAATTTCAAGATTATTTTTAAAATTTCTTTTCCTATAATTTCCTAGGAAACAAACGGAAGTAATTGAGCATACCTCTCGATGTCTTCGTAACACTGGGTTTTCTTTTCTCTAATCTCAACGTCCTGTATTTCCGGAAAAGGGGCGACAAAACAACAATTAATATTAGAAAAAACCCAATGATTTACAGAGATTGTGAGTGAGAGATGTTTGATTTATAGAAAACAAAGAAAGCTTACAGAAATTGGACTGCCAGATTTTGCAAGGACTTTTTGGGGAGCAATTGAACACACGATGAATGCCCAAAAAGCGCAGAAGATAAATACTGAAATTGGGGTTTTGTGATTATGTAGCATTATACATGCCATTCGATTCAGTGTCCTGAGTCTTTGTGTGTGTATGTGTATATATAGTCAACTGATGCAGCTTCACGAGTTATCCCAGTTCTGGTGGCCTACGATATCAAAATGAAAACATAGAAGGGCATTAATGTTGTTTGATTTGTGACTTGGAAACTCAAAATCTTACCATTTCCTTTTAAAATTAGAACTGTTTTTTAAGTGACAAAATCATGTGGGTTCATAATTTTTCAAATAAAATATTAATGTTTTTTAACCCAATTTATTGGATAAGAAGAATAAAAGTATAATGAAATTTAAATTTTACCTCTAAAGATGTTTTTTTAATTTTTTTTTTTTTATATAAAGTAAGAAAGATGTTGTGTTATTTGAAACTCAATTGAGTTTGGAATCAAAATTACTTCGCATTAATTAGAGAGAGAAATTGGGCATTACCCAATAAACCTAATGGGTAGAGTGTTTAATTTTTCTATGGGGTGTGTTCGTGTTCAACCCGCCCTCTCCTAGTTTGTCCCAAAAAACCACAGAGAACCATGTTTGGTTCTAGTTTTGGATTATTCAAAAACAGAATTATATATATATATTACAATAATAATATCTTAACCCTAAAAGTAAATTTTCATTCCTTATTTGACATTCACATTCACGCATCTCGAAAACAGTACACTTTGCCACAACCTCTGATCCCCTCCACCTCCTCTCTCTCTCTCCCCCTCGGCCGTCGTGGATCCTCTCTCTCCCTCTTAGTGTTGCCTCTCTCTCCCTCCCTCCCTCGGCCGTCGTGGTGGATCACTTTTTTGTGGGTTGGATTGCTTTCTTAAGTTGTCATATAATTTAAAAATAGTATATATAATTATTAGTATGGTTATGCTTTCGGAGTCTAGAATCGGACCGAACCAAAAATTGATGTTTCAAAATTTTGGAACCAAAACTAAAATGAATTGATGAGGAACCGAAACCAAAGCACTGGTTCAGTTCGATTCGGTTCCAGTAGATTCTCTAGTTCTTTGTATGTACCATTACCAATATTGTCTCTCTTGCATATTTGTGTTAACCCCTCATCACATCACGTTTAGTGTCAAGCATCATCTTGTTTGCCTCTTCTTTTTTTTTTTTCATTTTCTCATTTATTGCTAAACTTAAGATTCAAGACTTGATCAATTTTATGTGATAATTTTTTCACTTGTTAGTTCCATATCCTCATCTCAACATGTTTCTATGTTAATTTGAAGATTGGTTTCATTGTTTTTTGGTTGATGCTAGAATCGTGAAACTAAACCATACCAAATCGTTGGTCTCATGTTCAGTTCGGTTTCAGTTTTTGTGAAATCATTAGGATTCGTTTGGTTACAATACTCCCAAATTGGTCTGTGTGCATCTACTTATATTGTACTCAGTTATATTATAAAATGAACACTCATTCAACAACTTTAAAAAAGTTATGCAACATATTTATATCCAAGATATAACATAATGTAATACATCTTATTGTAACATTATGCATAATACCACTAAATTGAGAATTTACCCATTTATATAATTGATGCGTTCAAATGCAAAGTTGTTACATTAAACAAATAACTAAAATGACAAGGGAGAGAAGTCTGATTCTAACAGAAAATACACATGTTGTGCACATGTAACACTCTGAGGCCATTCAGTATTACACTTTTGGCAAGCCAACGCCGACTATGTTTGGCATGCTTCACAAAAATTCTTTTAGCACACTCACTACAGGCTGCGAGTCGAATTGCTTAAAATTGACTCTCTTCTTTTAAAAAAAAAAAAAAGTAATACATTCTCGAATTCGGAATATACTGAATGACAGCCTCATCATATGACATCACTCATATATCATTAAGTGGGAACCAAACCTTCACTCACATAAATTTCATTTAATATCTTCCAAATTTGGATGATATATCTTTATTATCTCTTATTTATCCGAAAATTCAAGCGAAAAAAACATTACTATATATATATATATATATATATATATAATATGCCTCGACCAAAACTTTAAACACTCAATCTAGGAGATCTTATATCTAGTATCTATTGATACATAGGGTGAGGATTGCTTAAAATAATAATAAAATTAGTTAGTCTAGTCAAAATCATACCAGCTGGTTGAGTTGACCACTTAAAGTTGGGAGTCAAGCCAGTACAATAGATTAATCTCTATATTCACCAATGTTGAAAGACCAAAGTGACTCCATGCCATACCAAATCGGTGAGGCACATAATTTTGTAATTTTTTTTTTTTTTTTTTTTGGGTAAATTGGACCAAAGAGTGTATATTTTGTAGGCTATTTGGGCAATATTGGTCCAAAAGTTAGTTAAAAAAAATAATTAAAAAATCCCAAAATAGAGAAGCCGTTGTTGTGCAAAACTGCCTTGCGCTTCCAACGCTCATTTTGGTTGTCTCTTTTGAATTCGTCCACTTCCAGAAACTGGAACCTAGAGAGAAAGAGAAAGAGGGGAGGGTAATTGTTGGTTGATTTCTGCAACTCAAACCAGCATCACCAAGGTATTAATCAATCAAGAGAGAGAAAGACATATAAACAGGAGAGAGAGGGGGGGATTAGATAAATTTAATTACAAGAAGGTGGTAGGTATAGGTAGGTAGGTAGAATGGAGCAGCAGGGGAGGGACGTTCCTGGAACAAAACGGTTTATAATAATCTCTTGCCTTTTCTTCTTTTGTGTCCTAACCGGTGGTGGCTTCCTTATTGTATACGTCTTCCTACCCGATGTTTCTCAGCCTTGGTATCCCAATGCAGCACTCGTATTGATAGGTCTTCCATGGCTCTTCTGGCTCCTTACCTACATCTACACCTGCATCAAAGCCTGTTACGTCGGCCGACATCCCAACAAAGATCGGGACGCCGCCCAAACCAGGAAGCTGGGCGGCGGCAACAACGGCCAACGCCACGTCCATTTCGGGGGCGCCACCACGCTTGGGAGGGAGGCAGATAAGAATAATAATAATAATAATAACAACGGGCAAGAAGACGGTGGAGGGGACTGCTCCATTGGCTCTAGAGAAAGTGAAATTCCATTGACTTCATCGGGTTCTTGATAATGATCGTGAAATTTGGGATCATAATATAGATGTGTTTCTCGTTGCATGTGCCATATTTAGGTGCTAGTGGATGAATTATACATATGATATATGGCAACGTTTTGGCTATATGCATGTAAACCATGCATGCATGTGATTGATCGACGGACGTGATGAGACAAAATTTTAGTAAAGGAATAGACAAGTTTATTTTCAAAGGTGGTGGTGGTCATGAGCAACTAATTAATTGGAGAAGGTGGTCTCCAAATTTTGAAAATGGGAGATGATTAATTTGAGAACAATTGTGATTGGCTTTTTCCGATGAAGATCGATGATGACAACGACAGAGTGACGATGATAATGCATGTAAGTAGAATAGTGAAATAGATTTATTTATTTGCCTAGAACCCCAACAAAATGAATGTGTAAACTAATTCTTTGACGGTTTATGTGATCCAAATTTAATATTTGTAACTCTTGAGAGGTAAAAAGGGCCTTCAAAATTAAATTCCTTTATCAGTCATTGAAAAATGATACTCCTCAGTTCTCGTGAAATTTCTTTTACGTGATGCACTATCACCTATATTGTTTTTAAGAGACCAAAAAATTAAAAATTAAAAAATAAATAAAAAACCTATATTTGCATGTTTGCGTGATAGTTAATCCATTATTGCTACATTGTACTCTCACTACTCATAGTCAAAATATAGAAACTTATACTGGGGTTGTTAATTCTGTAAACGCTTTCGTAATCCAGTAGCTGTATTGCTTTTCATTGTCTTTGAGAATCCGATTTTAAACCTTCGCATTTCTAACTTCTAATTTATCATTCTTACACTGCCCAAAAAAAAAAAAAAAGCTACATAAACGGTTAGAATATGTTTATAAATCTCTTTTTTCTAATCCATTTTTCAAGATTCTATTTGTAAAGCAAACGTTGTTCTTTGGAAAAGCAGTTGCCTAGATCCATCTATGGTTGTCCTATCCTAATTTATATTATTGTTTTTTGACATTTTCATATCCTACTTTGTGTTTTAATTTTTTCAGATTTATTGTACTTTGTCCCGGGTTCGAGCTTCCAAAGTTAAGAATATATAATATGTGAGATATGAATGTTGGATTTTAGGGTAACACTCTAAATGAGATATGCCTAGCTTAATTATAAATTTATAATTACATGATGCATAAGCATATTGAAGAGTTGGAGTTAAAGCACAAGGTATCTTGATGACAAAAACAAGTCTAGTAAAAAGTGGATGAAAAAGTTGTTTTTCCTCTCAAAACAAAACAGATTACTTTATATTTATTCACTTCTACTAAAATCCACTACAAGTGTAGTCTAGAACTCCTTTTTTTTTTCTAGGTCTCTGTCCCAAATTATTCATAGGTCCTTTCTGACACAAAGTGGCTTTTTGTAGAGCTCGTAATATGTGAACCACCCTGTCTTCTTTGGAATGCCTTTGAAGCCAATATAAGTAGTATCCCCTTACAAAAGATTCTTAAACCAATTAATACATCATACAGCTAGCCATTGGTCCATTTCCAAGCCCTCTGAACCTGGTGTTATTTGGTCCACCACCACTACTTATTTTTGCCACTTTCAGGCAATCCATGCTCCATCAAATCCTAGCTACAATTTGGGATTAGCTTTAAAAAAATAGATATATAAATTAACTCAGGATTGGTTTATTTGCCCAACCTCAGGTCAACCTCGTTCATATGAAAATAAAGAAACTAGTATTGTAAATTTGGATTGAGATTTATATCGTATTTGAGCTAACCAACACTTCAAAGTTAAATTATTTGAACTATGGATTTCTAGTTCATACTTGCACTAAATTTAAAAATAAAAAATAAAAAACAAATTTGCATTCCTAATTAATATCCATTGCTTGAATGATCAAGATAGAATTTTCATTTTGTTTGATGTGTCGAATCTCAATATGAAATCGTTATCTTTTCGGTAATTCTAAATATGAAGCAGTTGTCAGTTCAGGTCTTTGTCGCATCGTATTCCTTCCAAGTTGCTTTACATATCTGTCCTTCAACTTGACACAACATAACAAAAGAAAAGTATTTGTCATTGAGATTCTTCTTCTTGTTGTTTCTCCATGTCTGATTCCAAGCAAGTATTAATATTCATATACAACCAATTTGTTAATTAATATTTTACAATGCCGACCAACAACTCTCTGCAAAAAAAAAAAGACATTTTCCCTTTCTAACGGCAAAAAATATAGAATGACAGAAATTGTTGTTAAATAATTAGTTTATACAAACAATGACTATCATCGTTATTTGATAATCAGATCTAAATTCTCTCTAGCGAATATGTTAATCACTCTACTGTATTGTGCATCCTCACACGTCTCACCTTCTCGAGTGCTACTATAACAATGAGAGAACTATCAAAGACTTATTCTAACTGCATTTTTTCATCTTTTAAAATAAAAATATTGAGAGTTCAAGTTCTCGTAGAAATAAAGAGGGTGTCTGAGTTTCCTCCAAGATAAAAATAAACAAAAAAGTAACAATAATAGAAAATTTTCCATGTCAGAAGTTCAATGACTTAGAAGTTTATTATATACATTATTTATCCGAAATGGAATAATGGTCCAACAAGTACTTAACTAACAAGCAAAGCAAACCCCAGAGGGCGATAAAAGGAGAACAACTTCAAGTGCTATGGCAAACAGAAAAAGGCCCTCCATGGCCTTGGACAATAGCACTTCCACAACCACAACTACACCCATTGACACAACCCCAAAACACTGCAAAAGCAAGAACTTCTCCGACATAGACCAAAAACACCAGCCTAAGGACTCCAACAATGAGTCTGTATTACTACCAGGCTTGCCAAACCACCTTGCACAGCTTTGCCTCTCATCCCTCCACCCTTCCCTCCTCTCCTCCGTGTGCAGCTCATGGCGACGCCTCATATACTCTCCTTCCTTCCCTCCATTCTTCTCTCTCTACGCTCTCCTCTCACCATCGTCATCGTCTATAACAAGAAACAAAGATCAAGATCAGTCAAATTCAATCGAATTCTTCGCTTTAGACCCCATCTCCTCGATGTGGAGACAACTTCCAAGTCCGCCACCGGACCCACCACTCCGCCTACTCCTCCGCCATCCGTCTTTCATATCACGAAACCTCCCAATCCAATCCCTAACGGTCAACAACTACCTTGTTCTCGTGGCTGCCACCACACACGGTTTCCTTCCCGCCCTGTCCTGTCCATTAGTCTTTGATCCGGTGTCTGGCCAATGGTTCTCCGGCCCACCACTGTCCACACCGCGCCGCTGGTGCATCACTGGCTCAGTGAATGGCACAGTATATATTGCAAGTGGGGTCGGCACACACTACCAGGGCGATGTGGGAAGGTCACTTTTGAAATGGGACATGAAGAAGAATAATGATGAGTGGAATTGGGAAAATATGGCGACACTTAAAGATGGTAGGTTTAGTAGAGAAGCTGTGGAAGCAGTTGGGTATAGAGGAAAGCTCTATATGGTGAATGTGAAGGGAAATGCAGTGAAACAAGGGGCAGTCTACGACGTTGAAATGGACCGGTGGGAGGAGATGCCGGAAAGAATGGTTACAGGGTGGAATGGGCCGGCGGCAGTGATGGACGGCGAGGATGTAATGTACGTGGTGGATGAGGCAAAGGGTGTACTAAGCAAGTATGATTTTGATATAAATTGCTGGGAAAAGGTAATGGAGTTTCCGGAGCACTTGAAAGGCGCCGAGCAGATAGCAGCTGGCCGAGGGAGGGTTTGTGTTGTTTGTGCCAACAATCAAAAGATTGTGGTGGTGGACGTGGTGGCAAGGCCAGTGAAACTTTGGGTTGTGGATCTGCTGCCGGAAATGGAAGTGGTTGCAGTTCATATAATGCCAAGGATGAGCAGGCCGGAATATTGACACAGTGTTCAAATGTCAAGAAGAGTGATGAATGAGGTAACATCATGTAGGACTCATATGAATGTATTATTCTATGTAATTTTGTGAGTATTACAGTCTGACAATGTATTAATCAGTGTTCTATGGTATACTGTGTATGAACTATGAAAAAAATTGTCTACAATAGGGCTGCATTATTTTTGGATCATCTGTAATGTATTAGTACAATGTTACTTTCATTTCTTATAAAATAAGCTTTTGTTGCCGTTTCTTTTCAAACATGCTTGCAAACTTTTTTAAGCATGCGTGATATCATTTCTTTGTCAAGCAGCAAATATTTTTGTATGTAGAGCATGCTATAGTTTCCTAAAAAGAGTTTCCACTTTATATACATGTTGTGTGTGTGTATATATATATATATATATATACATATCACAATCCACTGAAATCATATATTCATGAAATAAAGAAACTACTCTAAAGTTATAGTATGAAGTTAGCAGCTACTGTAAACCGGCAATGTCATCATCATCCACAGGAAAGTAATTTATTCATTCCACATACGCGCGCATTAATCAAGTATGGATCTTCTATGCAAAGAAAACTTGAGGTAAAGAAAAGGTTGAGTCATATTTATGAATCTAAAAGTATTAGAATGTCAATAGATGTACAACTTCATATGGACCAATATAGACAAGGTACTTGAAGGATCGATAAAGTATGGACATGCACTAACGGAAATTTTGATATTTGGGGCTCTATAATCCCTTTTTTTTCTATTTTTTTTCAGCAAGTATTTGGGGCACTATACTTGCACAACTATTTTCTCTTTTAAAAATGAAAATAATAATATAATTTTCTTTCAAAAGTACAGTCACACTCCACCATTATGCCAACGATTGATCTGTAATTTTTTTATTATAAAAATAGGTACAATGCAAGTCTACTCCATCCCACACTAATTCATGAAAAGTTGAAAATAGTATTAAATGTTTCTAATGATCACGACACATGATCAATAATAATACTTGTACAAACTCAAAGAAGCTAAACAATCGGTTAATAATAAGTCACATATAGAACTATGTGTCTACACAAAAATGGGATAGCAAGAAAAGATCTTCATAGAGATGACATCCCCTTTTTCCAAATAATAAAACTAACCCTTTTGATCATTTATGAATGTGTTGACTACCTTCATATTTATCAAATGAAGAGTGTGTGTGTTTATATATATATATATATATATATATTCAGTTTCTTACTATTGTTTCTAATTTGATGGAAACGGAAAATTAAAAAAATTAAGACCAAAAACAAAAATCAATTTGATGGTCGTCGTCATTAGTTAGATCCACCTTATACAAATTACAAAGTGATTAGGTGATTCCGCATTAAAGGGGGAAAAGAGAAGAAAAAAAGGAGATGCCCACATTGCAAGGTTTTTCTGCTTTTCATTCATTATAAAAACATTCACATCCAGTGTTGAGCCAAAACGTAAAGAATGAGAACAAATTTATTATTCAAAAGGATGGATAAGATCACATGAAGCAAAAAGCGATGCCAAATAGAAAATTAAAGCTTCTTTGGATTCTGCTGACAGAATAAATCAAAAGGGCAAGTGAAAAGGCATCTCTCAACGCAAACCTCTCTCCAACCACCCCCACCTTTACTTATTTATTCCCCCCTTTTTATCAAACTACTCACAAGTTTCCAGCTTTTCCTATTTATGTTATTCTCTCTCTCTCTCTCTCTCTCTCACACACACACACACACACACAAATTATAACCAACTTAAAGTCCATCACAATTATTACTTTGTTTTTGTCCCTATCCAATTCACTTACTGACGATTTGAAGATGTCACTGAAATCTTTTCAGAAAATATAATCCGAGAAAAAACTAATTAATAAAATCATTCAAAATTCACAGACCTAGGTGAGTAAATGAAGGTGGTCCTTTTTAGATAAGCACAATGATTCAACACCAAACTAAATGAATGAAGCAAGATGAAAATTGGCTAGGGATACCACCAAGGATCTGGCCTAATGGTATTTTCTTCCCCCATGAGAAGCAGAGGGTTCAGGTTTCCATTGCAGCAATGTTGATCGAGTGTGTAAATGTAAAAAAATGTCAACAAAAAAAATATAGGTATTTAAATTACACCCTTTCTAACCATGTAATTATTTGGAGTAGAAGGTACTTGAGATGATATATCTTTTGTTTTTTAATTGCTTGATTATACACTCTTTTTTTACTAGTGTCTGCACAAACGAACTGATAGCCACATAGATGCCAGTTGGCACTATGGACAGATTGCCACGTGACACGAAAGGATTGCTAAATTTTCCAAAGTGTTGGTAATTCAGACCGAGATCTGTGCACATTTCGATCAGAAAGCGAGTATTTGGTTAAGATAATAAAGTTGACTGATAAAACTATCACTTTCTTTAAGAAAACCAAGATCAATTAGAAGAAAATAAGGTATGACCGATCAGAAATGGAGCTCTAGATTTCTTGACCAACGAGTTTAGATTCAAGAAACCTAAAGATAATTAGGTTTCATCCATTAGAGGAACATCAAATATGCCATAAAATCCTATCAGACTTAAGAAGCTAATTTGGAGGTCTCATCCATGATTAACAGCTTGACATATTTCTTGATGGAAAATACTTTTTAACACCGAAGGGGTGCACCGAACAGGCTGGCCGAAGGATGCCTAACCGCAATGACGGAGCCAGGATTTCAAGTCAGGAGAGGCACCATGCAATATATATATATATATATATATATATATATATATATATATATATATAAACATTACAAATATAAAATAAAAAAGAAGAAGAAAAAAAAAAATATTCAAATATGCACGTTAAAAAGATGAATTTTAAGAAGTAGAAATTGAAAAAATAAAAGATTAATGAGACAACTTTAAATGGAAAAAGTTAAGAGTTTCAATTAGGAAATGAAAATTTAATTTTTTCTTTTAGGGTCCGTTTGGTTAGCGTCAAGTAAATAGAAAAGAAAAGAAAAGGAAAATATTTAAATTTTTTGTAAGTTTGGTTAGAGGGAAAGTGAAAGTTTTGGGGAAAGTAGGATTGCCGCATCTGAAAATTTTCCTCAAAACTTTTCCTACAAAAAATACAGGGAAATTCACTTTCTCGCAAAACTTGTACACTTTGTATATTACTTTCCTATTATACACATGTTAGTTGTCTCTCTTTTTCTTTACTTAATTACATAGACTTCTTTCAAAAGGAGAGTTTCTTTCTTCTGTAAATTGTTTTTTTATAAAATCATATATTACTAATTAAATTGTTTATATTTTTTTATATGTGCATCCAAAATTAATTAATTTTTTCCTTTTATTACTGAATTATTTTTTTCATTTTTTTTTTTTTTTGAAATGTCTTAAATAAGTAAAATATTTTTTTTTCTATAATTGATAATGATTAAGAGTTATTATATATATGCATAACTATTTGTTGATAATAAGAGTGTTAAGTGAAAACTAGTCTACATTATCTTAACATATTTTGTTTCATACCTAACATCAAACATTATCTTAAAATAAATAATTGATGATTCATAAATGGTTTACATAATCTGTCTATGACTTTATTTTCTCAATGAGAAAGTTGTAATTAGATATATAATATCCAATTACATCATTTACAAATAAATAATAAAATTAAAACTAACATAAAAAGAAAATTGAAGATGCAAGGAATTCATTTCTATTTTCTCTCTCTAGAATTCTTACACTTCAACAGAATCCTCCCCTTCTCTATCCATTACTTCTCATATTTATAGATACTTACAAACACTAATGGACTGCTAGATCTGGGCCCATTCCTCTGTGGGTTTTGGTCATCTTTGATGGGCTATTCGCGTTTGGCCCATATGGCAGTATTTCTCTATGGGCTGGACCCAGCTGCTCGAACCGGATGCTATGTTCGCGGGTCATATCCGGCCCATGTCACTTCTGGCCTCCTCAACTGCCCCTATAATTACTCCCTATTTAATAAGGGGGTAATTATCAAAGGCGTCTCATCATAACGTTGACGGCTCGAGAAACTCTTATGGGGGAATGGGCGGTCGGATCCGGAATCAATGTTCCGGGATTCGATAAACTTCTCGCCTCCCTGACGCTTCGGCCCTCGGGTCCACTTCGTCTTTATAAGGCTCTAGAATGCCACTTCATGCCTTTTTATCGTCTCAATCTCTCTCCATCATCAGTCAAATCTCTCGCTCATCTTTTTAGAACAGTGCTAAATTTCATCCGGTGAAATTCTTCAAGAGTCATTCTTCCAGCGATCTTGCAGTGCTCTTTGCTGCTTTCTACCCCAGAGGTTAGTCTTGTTCCTTTTTACTTTCTGTAGACTTCTTTTTACTCTTTTAGATACTTCATTCGCTTTCACCATGGTTGTAGATCTAGATGTTCTTCGTATGAGACTTAGACTTCCTGACAACATCCAAGTTAGGGTTTGCCCTAGAGATGTTAATATTATAACCGGTGCCGGCCTTCTTCCCGGCGAGGTTTTATTTACTAACCTTCAACTGAATGTCGTTAGGTTCCCTCTGCATCCCTTCTTTAACTATGTCTTCAATAGATTGGGGATCTCCCCTCTGCAGGTAAACCCAAATTTCCTTAGAATCATATCCGTTCTGTTACTGTTGATCCGTGACAGAGGTCTGGATCTTGATCTCATAGATCTTCTCCTTTGTTATAAGGTCAGTAAAATCCGTACTGAAGAGCCATTTTACCACCTTTACCCGATCGACAAGATGTCCATATGTACGGATACAATCAAATCTGAAAAGGGTTGGAGGGATAACATTGTGGGTGTTAGTGGGGCCTGGTCTTCGCCGGCTGCAGAGGATTACCCAATCCCGAGCGCCTTTGGCGTCTATTCTGTCTCCTCGTATAAGAAATTCAAATTTCATAAAAACGATTGTCCCTGCGAAACATGTGTTCCTCGCTTTTGTGCTTTCTTATGTCGCTCCTTAGGCATTCCTTGTGATGACTTGAGCTACAGTGTTTGTAGGGATAGGAGTAATTACTTGAAGAAATACGTTCTGAACGATATTCCTTCTTGCTCAGACCTCCTCACTTCAGACAACCTTCTAGTGCTCTCAGCCCTCGGCTATACAATGAGCAGGCTTCAGATTCCTTCTTTTGGTAGGAGGAAAAATCCTCCCCCAGCCACCATTGCTGCTGGAGCAACCTCCTTTCCCGCATCAGCCTCTTCTTCAGCCACC